TTTTAAAATCTAAGAGGCCTGTGCATGCATAATACTTAAACCAGAGCATCATTGTAAACACTGTTAATTTTGGAAGATAAATATCAACATACACACATATGAATATATTTATACTTATTCAAAACCAACTCTTATACATATTTACAGTAAGGTGCCCATTTTATAAAATACAATGTTTTCATACTAACAAAAGAAAATGTTAACTGTATACTTTGGTCATAATTCCACCACTCAGCTCACTAGTGTCTATTTTCCTCTCAGAAGAACTTGGAGTTTGTTCATAAAAGCATCAGGGCAGAAAATAAGGAGCAGAATCATAGCCTCACAGTTTTTTGTTTCGTTGGGTATTTTGGTTGTGGAGTTTGTTTGTTTTTTACTTTTTATATAATTATAGATAGCATACTTTTTAAAAAATTTATCTTTATTTTTGAAAATATTACAGATGTCCCCTTTTTCCCCATTGATCCCTTCCACCCCGCACCCACTCCCCACCCCAGGCCTTCCCCGCACTATTGTCTGTGTCCGTGGGTCATGTGTATATGCATGTGAGTTCTTTGGTTAATCTCTCTAGATGGACTTCTTAATAGGAACAAACAATACAATACGTTTTTCCCATTGGTTTTTATGCATAGCCCATTCATGCTCTGTTTTCTAGAATAGGTTAAGGGTATTAAATTAAAGGTAATAAGCAGAGAATAGGTATACTTTTATTTATGTGTATTGTGTACATATATATTTATATATACAAATAAATGTTAAGCATAATCACTATTACACTTTAAACTGTATATATATTTTATGTGCTGCTCGTTTTTTTCACTAACGTAAATCCTGAGAGCTTTCCTATATTCATGAAGATTTTCAGGAACATGACTGCTAAGGATGGTACAATCTTCTGTCATAAATCAGGCACCATAATTTATTCTTGACCAAAACTATTTCTTTCGAACACTTAAACTGAGGTTGTAAAAGTTTACAACAATAATAGTCATTTGTTTCTGTGTTTATTATGTTTGCTAGGGTGGGTGTTTCCACAAAGTACCTTTTCTTGTGGAGAGATGGGGAAACTGAGGCGAGGGTGGCTCCCTGTGCTTGCCAGCAGCATCCCCTCGGTGCTCTTCTCGCCTCCTGGCTGTGCTTCTGAAGGCTGCCTCCTCGACTTTTCATCTTTCTCGCAGTCACCCAGCCTGAGAAGCTTCACGTTGCCTTTGACACTTGAGTCTTTTCTGCCTCAACAAATCATCAGCCTCTCCGTTTTCTGGAGTCAGCATCGTCTTTCCTCTCTTCCCATGAATAACCGAATCCCCATTCTCCCTCCATTAGTTAGGTTCTTCTTTACCTTTTTCCTGCAGTTCTGTTTCGAGGTGGTTTTTATTTTCCCAAACCGGCCGCCTCACCTTCAGAGGCTCCCCTTAACCAGCCCTCTCCCACACTGCTGCCAGATGAACTCCCTGGAGCACACTTCTGATTCCAGCTCAGAGACGTTCAACGGCAGGTCGGCTTATGAAATAGAAGCGGAATTCCTCATCGTGTCCTTCAGGGCCTCTGCGCCTGTTCACAGCTTGCTTCCAGCGCTCCCTTTGTGTCCTGGCTGTAAGCACACCCTGCACATTCCCCAGCCTTCCACGGCCAGGCCTCTGTCTTGGGCTCGCTTCCCCTTTCCTCTCTTACCACTGAATCCTGTTCTCCTCGTTCGTGCCCAAGCATCCACCCTCCCAGGATCTTCACCTCTTCCACTGAAATAACTTTCTGAATTCTCAATATGACGAGATTCACAGGATGATAGCTTTGGTCGTCTCCCCCACCCAGTGGAACTATTTAGGGAGGGATGAAGGTGTAGCTCTTAGTGAGCATGACCCCTGGAACCAGGCTGCCTGGATTCAAATCCCAGCTGTGTGATCCCGAGTACATCGCTTACATTCTCTGCGCCTCATTCCTTTTCCGTAAGACAAGTCCCTACCTCATAAGGTATTGTGAGGATTAAATGAATAGTGTAAAAATGTTTAATTTAGTGTCTAGCACTAGTGCTGTATAAATATTGGTATGATCATGCCAGTATTCTTATCATTTACATGTAATATCGACTCTTCTAAATTATAACTTGAGAACCAAATCCACATCTGATTTATTTTTATGACTTCTAAATCCCTTACTGCCTCACACAGAGTAAATTAATAGTGAATGTATGAATTAGAATCACAATGATTAGTAAACCGTAATTGGACTTTTCAAATGGTTTATTCTGAAGATAACATTCTTTATTAAATTAGCTAAAATAAATCATTGAGTAAAAATTTAATATATATAATTTTTCTATGTGTAAAGTACACAGAATATATAGAGAAGTATGCCTTCTCTGATTTTACCTTTGATTCAAGGAGACATACATGCAGATAATCATAATATAAGGTAAAGTAAAAAGTATACAGTTGAAAAGTGATTATAGGAATTCAGAAGGATTGGCTGGAGTGATCAGAAAATAATTTATTGAGATGATATGTAATTGAGATGATATATATCTCAATATGCAATGAGAATGGAACTTTTAGAATAGAGCATATATAAATCAACTCTCCCGATAATATCAGCCAATATTTATTTAATACTCATTGTACCAGACACTGTTTATCACATTTAAACTTCAAAACAGTCCCATATGGAAGTATTGTTGTGTTCATTTTATAAGTGGGAAAACTGAGGCATAGCAAAGCAATGTTAAATAATTTGTCAAAGCATGCAGCTAATAAAGAAGGGAGCGGGGATTGAAACCCAGGGCGGCTGGACTCAGAACCTTTGTTAACCACCACACTGCAAAATCAGAATTTTCACTTTGCTATTTGCTGAACTGTTTCTAATAATATGTTTTATTAAGTTCACTGGAATTTTATTTTCTATTAATTTTTAAACTTATATCTCATCCATGAATGCTAAAAAAAATTATTTTATTTCTGACCAACTGAATTTTTCGTTTACAGTAAAAAGTTCTCAAATTCTTCATCTGCGAAATAAAAGTTTGAAGCTATATCAGTAGTTCCCAAACAGTTCAAGAGCAATTCTTTAATTAAAAATAAAAATTTTTGCCAACTTCTATATTATGGTTGTTCACCTTCTCTAGTTCACTGCTTGGTGTACAGTAGAAAACTTGACAAAAAGTTACAGGATTCTGCAGCTCCCTGGAATCCACTGTGCTAGACTTTAGGTCCCCTTGGCTCTAGTTCCTAATCTCTCATTTCTCTGTCTGCTGTAAGAAGGAATATATATGTTCCCTCAATCCCTTAAAGCTCTTTCAAGTTTTCTCTCTTTGTTTTTCCCCTGCCAAGTTTTCCCTTCTTCCTTCAGCTCAGATTCCTTAGTAAACAATACAGCCTACTTTGCAGAAGTCATAATTACTGAATCTCTTGTGAAAAGGAACTCTGTCAAAAATATATGAGCTAAAGCAATACAAATTTACAGAACTTAAACTTGTTCTGTGAAAATAGTAAATAAAAGAAAGGTTTTTTTAATATCAATCTGGTAGATTAAATTCTAAAATCAAATCTTTATCTGTATGTTCAGCATAGAACTAGTGAATTAGAAAATTAAGGACAAATACTATATATACACACAAAGTAACATTATCTTCTGCTCACATTTATTTTTACCTTTCTTTCGTTTCTCCTTGACACTTCTGTTCAATATTTTTTTTTCTACTTCTTGAGACTTTAATCCTAATAATATTGACAATACTTAGTTTCATATCTTTATATAGTAGAAATATTTGAGAAATGCCAGCATGGAGTTTTAGAGAACATCATTCTTGGTACTGCTAGAGACTGGCTTCATTTGTAAGATACCAGCAAGAAATTATCAGCACCAACCCCATCCCCCTCAGTTATGCTTTATGTTTCCCTATAGTCAAAGCTTTGGGGTACAAAACCAAAATAACACCCTGGGTTTTAGGAGTGGATATATTTTTCTGTTATGATGCCCTCGCTTTCAGCAGAATCAGTTCAAGCCAGCTGCTCCGAGCAGAAAAGCATAAGTCTGCATTTCCAACGGCATTAATCCTTTGGTGCTGTGTAGACCCTTCCACAGCCAAACCAAGTCCTATGCAGTGAGGCCTTGCTCAAAACCGCAGGGTGCCACCTGAGAGGTCGCACATAGAGTGCCTTCCATATGCAGGGTGGGACAAATTAGGTTTACAGTTGTTTGTATGGAAAATAATACAATAATTAACAAAATAATACAGGAATGAACTGTTTCACATGCTCACAACTATAAACCTACTTTTGCCGCACCCTCTATATGCCTTTGGACCATCCCCCTGGAACAGGCCACTTGCTCCTTTATGTCCCTCTGAACCTGTGCAGGTGTTATCATGGCACCTGTGATCCTTTCATGCAGTTTCTTGTTTATATGTCTCTCTTCCCTTTCTTATTGGCCTTTATCTCCACAGCATCTACTGTCGTTCCTGGATCATGGCAAATGCTTAATTAATGGTTGTTGAATGAAAACTCTGGAGTAAGAAGCAAGAAGTTAGCGGATTAGTTGAACCAAGTACTAAGTGAAGTAATAACTACGGAGTGGTAGACTGATTGGGGCTGTGCAGTGTGAGGTAGTCCTCTCAGGGCTCTTTTAGACAGGGGATCAGTATTTCTAGAAGTGTGGAGGCAGGAATAGGGAAGGTTTCCGATGGAAGTCAGTGGAAGCTAGCCTGGCTGGCCCATGGAGAGTCAAGAGAATTAAGTTTGGACATACTAAAGACTTAGAGACAGTTAATAGAAACTCCTGAAAGTTAGAACTAAGCAACTTAGAATTGATTTGAACGCAATAAGGAGACTCTGTGGCTCTCCGATTTGGGCAATGGACGATCAAAATAATATTTTAAGGTTTTGATTAAATGGATGTGTGCTTATGTTACAATTTATGTGTATTAAACCTCAGATTATGAATTATTGATTTTGGTCTATGGGTCATCAGTTGATCTTGAAGGTTTCTTTCTTTCTCTTCTCACCCCACAGGTTGTTATTTTATACTTTGAGCCAAGCACATTTCGCTGTATTCTCCTAAGATGGGTGCGTCTTCTCGGTTTTGCTACTGTGTATGGAACTGTCACTCTCAAGCTTCACAGGTATATTATATTTTATTAGTTTTTATTCTCATGGGAAGATCAAAGTGTTTGGCTGAGCATGTAATTGTCAGCCAATTAAATGGTTTAATTTCAAGGATTAACAGAAAGATGATCTATATTTTTTTATTTTTGAGGCAATATTTTTAAGATTCCCTAGGAAAATCTTTAATACAACTGAGTTTTAATAACATGCTCTAATAAAATGTGCCACTGGTATTGGGAAGGTTAATACTGAAAAAAAATAAGTTTAGAATGAATGCAAAACAGTATCGACTAGCTAAGAGCAGGAATCAATACAAAGACAATACAGTTGGAATAATAATCCAGGTGCAGAGCTACCAAAGAGCCCTATACAGTAGAATTCAGTCATATGCTTATTTGACTAAAACTACTGTCCTCCCTTCTCAAGATCTCTGCCCCAGGATAATCCTGCTAATATTCTGCAGATGAAATTGAAGAAAAGAAAATAATGTTTCTGGCTTTCCTTCTTAACCAATGTGCTCCAGTAATTATCAGCTTCGCAAATTGGAGAATACAGTACTGTAAATTACCTTATACTTTGTTTTGAAGCCATCTACTTTTTAAAATATGATAAATATTAGGAATAAAGAGGCAATAAAATAAATTACCATCCCCAAAGACTAGGGATGTCTGGAAATGATTCCAAGGCTGCCCCTTGCCTCCTCTCCCCAATTTTTCTCAATGCCAAAGAGCTTAGGAGACAAAAATAGAAGTTTCTCCTGCAGGATCAAGTTGTAGTTCGATAGAGGAAACCCTTTATGCTGATCGGCTTTAAAGCTGGTTTGACGACCACAATAAACCATATTTTCATGCTAATCTGACCGTAAGTTTTTCTCAATAAAAGTATTTTAATATGGCTCATCCAACAGGTTATCTTAGTTGCCATACTCTGTGTTATATTTGTCTTTTTTTAAATGTGATCTCTGTACTGTCTACTGCATACTCTCCATTTCATTTCCCTTTGGGGTGGGGGGCAGTCCCTATTTACCAGGAGTGCTTCAGATTGTGGAAAAACCATAAATATCCTTAATTCTCAATATATCAAACAGTACAAAAAATATTGGACTGGATTTCAGTTTAAATCTGTTTAGCATCTGACTCTAAGAATTCATACCCCTGAAATGTATATAATTTTATTAACCAATGTCACCCCCATAAATTCAGTAAAAACTTTAAAGAAATCACAGGCTCTGCTTCCTGGAGCAGGAAAGGATTAGAGCAACCTCTCATGTTCTTGCCGATGCCCACTTTATTCTTTCCACATCCCAGCACGCTTGCTCATTTGTCCTGTCCTTCAAGGGCCTGCCGACTTCCATTCGTTTTGTGATAGCTGTTTTTCAACTGGTGCTCACTCACAAGAAGAAATGAGAAATTGACCGCTTATAACAGACAATAAGACTTCTAGAAATTCTGAATGGATGGTGGCCTGCTGAGACATGAAGATGACCTCTCTCCCTATGAGTCTAGCACTTAGCACCTGTTAGGTTTGCTTATTTAATCATGTTCTTCATTTTTACCGAGTTTCTTTTCTTTTTCAAGTGAGGCTCTTACTGTTGGATCCCCAGGTCTTAGCACAATGACTGACACATGAGAGGTATTTAATACCCATCAATCGATGAGTGAATGGGTAAGAATGTCAGGTGCAGCCTTAAAAGCCGCTTCCATCACTTCTCTCCACATATAATATGTTCATGTTCCCCTTCCTCACCGTATGGCCTCAAGTATCTGGAACACTGTGGTTTGCAAGAGGCTGTTTGGTGGGATGCAAGCACAGTATTAAATAACGATGACTTGTGTAATCAGAAAACTGCTTCCATTCAGGTTCTCTTTCCATCCTTCTGATTATTTCCAGGAGAAACACGAGTGTGGAGCTCATAGGTCTCTAACACCTGCCGAGCAGTTGCTAATCTTCCTTTGCAACAAGGAGCTGATCAAGTCAGACTCAGAGCTTTCCCATGCAATGCTATCTAGATAAAATGTTTTCACTTTGTTCCACTATTTATTTTCATAGTTGCTTTCTATGTATAGGTTATCAGTTTTTCATTGAAAGTAGCAATATAAAGTTTTCTTTAAAATATTTTAAAGCAATAAATAAAAGTTGATTTAAAGTATACAGGGCATCCCCCAAAAATGTATACACACTTTAACAGCTGATAGCTCAATTTTGAAAATGAAATGTATCTTAATAAACACTGCCTTTAAAATTATTCAAAGTGCGTGTATACATTTTGGGGGAACACCCTATATTAGTTGGTGTGCAGATACAGACAGAAATCTTGAGGGAGGTAAGCCAAGGATCGGAATTTAGGAAACTAGATTATTTCATCATTCTTATTTCAAAGAGTGGAAGTAAACTATTTTATCTCTGACTGTGTGTTTCTAGAAGTCATTGCAGTGAAGAATTACCCTAGTGAAGGCTTAAATTGAGTAGAAACTTTCTAATTTAATGAGCCAAATTATTCTTATCCTGCCTCAACCATATGGCTTTATATTATATTCTGTTCTTTTCCATATTGCTTAAATTTTACTGATTCTGCTATTGCTTAAGTCTATTAACTGAACAGTCAGCTTGTCAGAGGAAGGAGAGCGACCCGGTGGAAGTGTCTGGCTGAGCCAGCTTTGTACTCCCTGTGCTTAGTGCTACGCCTTGCGCCTCTTATATACAGCTGACCCTTGAACAGTGCTGGGGTTAGGGACACCGACCCTGTGAAGTTGAAAATTCACACATAACTCTTGACTCTACAAAAACTTAACTACTGATAGCCTCCTATTGACTGGAAGCCTTACCAATAACATAAGGTCAATGAATACATATTTTGTATGTTATATGTATTATGGGCTATAATCTTACAGTAAAACAAGATATAGGAAAGTGTTATTAAGAAAGTCATAAGGAAGAAAAAATACATTTGCAGTATTTATTGAAAAAATCCTGCTATAAGTGGGCCCACACTGTACGAACTCGTGTTGTTCAAGGGCCTGTTGTACTCAGGTACTTGTTTGGTGAATGAATGGGTGGATGGTTACAGTGAGTGGGGCTGCAAGGAATGTCCTTGGTTGGGTCTCTCTTAGAGTCAAACAACATGTGCCCTGAAGAATGGATTTCTAAGATTCTGTACTAACCCGATAGGAAGACATAAATCCTACCAAATCTGAATTTGTATTCCAATTCCGCCGTTAACTATACAACCAAGAATAAATACCTCTAACATCTGAGGGTCAATTTTATTCACCTCACCTCTAAAGTTGTTGTAAAGATTAAGCACAATTGGGACATATGGAAATATATCAAGTAGGGTTTTTCTTATTGCAAACCACAGATTACTGACTATGGCTAAATTAAGCAAAAGGCAAATTCATTGGGAAGATATGGGGCAGTCATAGAATTAAAGTGAAACCTAAAGAACCAGGCTTTAGAGGACTTGGCCCAAGGTAGATTGAGGGATTGGTAACCTGAACTAAGAGACAATGTCCTGTGAATTCCATAGACTAATTTTCATGGGAACTTCATTTTTTATTTCAAGATTTTTAAAAAAGTAAATCCTACCTCTCTAGGCAGAAAGTTCTAAGGGTATTATCAGTACTGATATATAAAATGACTGTTAAAGTCCCTTGAAAATAGGATAAGCAAGAAAGACTCGAGTTTTGTTTTATTTTAGCCATTTCACTGAAGGCTTAGTAAAATTGCGATCGGCTGCCTCCAGCACACCCCCGGCTGGGGATCGAGCCCAAAACCCAGGCATGTGCCCTGACGGGGAATCAAACCCCGATCCCCTGGGTTATAGGTCGATGCTCAACCGCTGAGCCCCTCCGGCCGGGCACCGTGTATATTTTGAGGAGGCAAAATGAGGAAATGTTTTAAGTGAAAGGGGATGAAGACAGATTAAGAAACTTAATGCTAAAAGAACATTTTTCTATTTCTTTTAATATGGTTTTTTAAAAACAGATTGCCTTTTCCTTTTTCTAAGGCTAATCAAGGAAAAATAAGACTTTTTTGTACTATGTTTAAAACAAATATTTAAGCAAGCTGTGAAAAAGCCTTCTTCTGACTCTGGACTAGGGATTTTTATTTTATGCATTAATCAGTACTCCTTGCTGTGGATACAGCACAATACTTAGCAGCTTTCTCTACTGTGTTCATTAGCACCAAATAGTTTACACTTTGTGGGAAGGAATATATATATATATATATATACATATATATTCTATTAAAGTTTGAAAAGTGACTGGAAGATATTTATGTTTATTTATTGAGTGTATTTTTAAAGATACATAAAATACAGTAAGATAATCTAAATCTTTAAAAGAGCAAAAGAAAGAAAAGCAAGTGTGCCACTATATAGAAAAGCTAAGGGCTTGTGACAAAAATGAAGATTGTCTCCTTTACCTTAACTTGTGATAACCACTGGGTGGCAGGGAATTTGAGATGGAGCCTGGGGCAAATACCTGAAGTATAGTTATTAGACTTGTCTATTAAATACAGATTATCTGCCTTGACAGACCATTGATCAAGGTGTTGATTAGCTCTCATTTATGAAAGCCAAATGTTATAATAATAACCTTTGTTTTTAGGTGGCTAAGCAAATGCCTATGGGCATCCACAAGATTCTCCTAAAAGAATTCATGCATTCATCCCAGCACACAGATGAATGGTGTTTAACGCCTCAGATCATGACCCAGAGGGTTTTAATATGAAATAGTTTTAACACTGTTTTAGCCAGTTACCCACCTCAGTGAAAAATAATATATCCAGAAAGTAGTCTCTGGACATGTAGCTGTGTACATTGCATTTTGACTAGGAAATGGGAAAACTTTGCCATATGGATACTGCTAATAATATGCACTTCAGGTATAGCCTCTACTGAGCACACTGTGAATGCTCATCTTAACTGGCTTTCTACCTTCAAGTGGAGAATTGCTTATAGTGACATTTCTTAAGAATTATATTGTCCCAGAGAAAATCCCAAGCTTCATCTTCT